GTGTTGTTGTGTTTGAGCTACTTTTTTGGGTATTTACTTATTATGTGTGTTGATGTCTCAGGGATGTGAGCTATTGTGTGCTGGAGGCAAACCCATCTGATCAGCAGTCCGAGCACATCTCTTGCAGACGGGTGTGGACAGGCACAAGGGGGGGGGGGATGCTGGGTAGACACACCAGCACATCTGTCAGACACAAAGACACTGATAGACTGGTCAGGTTTGCCCTGAAAGTGAATTTATGGTGACACAGCTACAGACATGGTGCAAGGCTAAAGTAGGCAGTTAAAGAGAGAGGTATACTGAAACATATAGTGTTAAAAAGATGACAGGCCATATAGTTTCATCTGTTTTGTCAGGAAATGATTATTAGACCAGCGAGAGCTATATATATATATATATATGTATATATAAATGTCTCTGGTCATGCTCATGTTCTCTGCCCTCCTGTTGAGTCATGCAATAATTGTCTGTGGAGATCAGCTTATGTAATTTGTTATTTCAAATTCATCATTACATAGTCAATCTTTTTCCAGGAAATTATGCAATTTATTAGATTTTAGCAGCTGTATTTGTAGATGAAAAACACTTGAGTGTAGGAATAGTTTGCTGAAAAATTCTGTCATCATTTATTCACTCTTATGCTGTTCCTACATAAAATCTTTTTCTACAAAGCATAAAACGTAGACATTTTGGTAAAATGTTACTGTAAGATCCTATTATTGTTTCCTGTTTATTGCCATGAAGTGCTTTGAAATCTGTATTGTATTAAGCACTATAAAGGTAACTTGACTTGATTAGGTAACTAACATTAATTAAGAATGAACAATTCATTTGTTGCTGTTTATGGTTACACTTTTTTTGAAGGTGTCCTTGTTACAGTGTAATTATATATTAATTACTGCATAATATTAATTAACTACATATACTTACTATATGGTTAGGATTAGGGTTTGGCTTAGGGTTACTTGCATGTAATTATGCATAATTAATTGTTATTATAATAGTGAGTACATGTATCATGTGAAACAAGTACACCTTAAATTAAAGTGTTACCCTGTTTGTTACTCTTTGTTAATGGTAGTTAATAAAATACAGCTCTTCATTGTTAGTTATTGTTTGCTCAGGTCCATTAAATAATATTAAGAGATACAATTTGAAATCTACATTAGCTAAGATTAATAAATGCTTTAGAAGTATTTTTTCTATTATTAGTTTGTGTTAACTAATGTAGTTAACTAATTTTAACAAATGGAACCTTATTGCAAAGTGTTTTTAAGACTCATGTAGCTCTTTTTTTTTTTTACAATGAAACTTCAGATAAATTAATATCATTACAATGGCCATTTGTAAATAATAAAATAGTCCAATGACTTTTGCACTATAAGTCGTCTGAAGTCATGCAGTGTGTGATTTAACCAAATCAAATTTGTAATTCTTCTGTTCTCGCAGGTCTTAAATCACAGAAGAGAGCTACATTAAAGATTGAGTGTTGGATGATTTATTTATGAAGTTCAGCACAATGATTCAGTGATCCACTACTCTATGAAAGAGATTCAGTAAATAATGACTTACATTTTAGTCTGTTCATCACATAAAACTGTTGTATAACATCAGAAGACTTTTAATATAGTCAAAATTTCTTGTCTTGTTCTTTAATGTTGATTTTGCCTTTTTAAAAAACAGCAACAAGGACTATTTTAAGTGAAAAAACAACATCACACAGGTTTTGAATGGCATGAGTGTGACTAAATAATGACAGAATTGTCATTTTTGACTGAATTATTTACTGTGACTCTCTTCTAGAGGAGTCTGACCTCGGGTTGATGGTGTACCACAAACTCGAGTCTGCGTGGGTGAACATTATTCTAATGGGATCTGAGCAAAACTCTTTTCCCTTTCTGTGTGTATGTGTGTCTGTGAGTGGGTGGGCGGATGCTGGGGTTGTAAGGTGGGCGGAAATTGTGCCTGAAAAGTGCACAAGAAACAAAAGCGATGCATTGCTGACTCCCATCATGCAGTCTGTTTGCACTGGAGAGAGAGTGGGAGTAGCAAATGGCCCTTAATCACTTCGCATCTCTTCAGAAAGCTTTGACGTAAGCCTCGCTGCCGTGTTTTTCTCCGTCGGTGCTAATGTGTCGGCTTCGTGTCTGAGCACATGTTAGCTGATCGTTGCAGCATCAACTTCAGTTAAATCGAAATGCCTCGCCTTGTGCTTGCATGTTAAATGATTAATATTGCAAACACAACAGAGATTCATGGCTGTTTACAACATTATGCTGAGCTTGTCATTGCACTAAATGTGCTTTTGGAACACATTTAAACTCTTACTCCCACACAGTTGGTTTGTAGGCACTGTCTTTGGCAACCATCAGCTATGGGTGGCCATTGCAACACTATCTAGATCCATCTTGTGGTTAAAATCAGACTGTTGATGCCACTGAAATGTATCTGATGTCTTGTAAGAATGCAGCAAATGTGTTAGTGTCTTGAAGAGCTGAGGGATACTTTTAATAGCGCCGTTTTAAAGCAGAATCTATCCCTGGACGCATGTTGCCAGCCAATCCGTGGGCTGTATTCTGCCGGCTGCTTAATCGGTTGCAGTCTCTTCTTATACCTCCCCAATCTGCCGTTACCATGACAATTTACTCTCTCAAAGTGCTGCCAATTTTCTTGCCATTTTGAGCTTTCTCCTTTTCTTTTTTGAGAGTGTTTTCCTCTGAGATAGAGGTTCAAATTAATATCCTCTGAAAGGACATAGATAAAACTGAATTACACATTGGAAGTTTGTTTTATTTGCTGTGAAATTATATTTAAGCAATTATAGAGAAGAATAGATTTGTAGACTGACTCAATCTTTAATAATGTGCAGTTATGTCTTCGGATTGTCTAGCTGCTGATGTAATGTATGTATTTTCTAGCACTCTTTCCTAAGTGAAGCGACAAGTGATAAGGAGTGATTTCTTTTAAAACTGAGTTCTTGTCTTAATAAGCTGTGATTGCTGGAAGCAATGATCAACAGGATGTTTTATCGGCCATTTGGTTTTTAGTACTTTATATCGTTGTGCTGGGTATCTCCACCCACAGTGAAATCTCTTTAAAGAATCTCTTTATAATCTCTTTTAATCTCTTTAATATTAAACATCAAACATGTTTTTGATTGGCTGTGATTGTCACATTGAGCAGCATTTTTAGCTTCATTGATAAATTATATGTCACTGTAAATTTGTCTCTCTGCTTAGGAAAATGAGTAAGACATAAAAGCAGCAGTAATGAGACTGTAATATTTGGGGCTATATTGAAGTGCTCATTTGTCTCTGTAAGGATTATTTTGCTTTATTAGGCCACATACACTGCCTTCGATATATTTGGGGATAGTAAGATCCTTTTTTAAAAGAAATTAATTATTTTATTCAACAGGGTTATATTAAATTGATCAAAATTGACAGTAAAGACATTTATAATGTTACAAAAGATTTGTATTTCAAATAAATGCTGTTTTTCAACTTTCCATTAATCAAACAAACCTGAAAAATGTATCACAGTTTACACAAAAACGTTAAGCAGCACATTTGTTTTCAGTTAGTGGTCGACCGATTATCGGCCCAGCCGATTATGGGCGCAGATATAAGGCATTTTTATGGTTATCCGTACCTTTCATTATCAAAACTGATTTGCCGATAAATTAATTTAAGAGCATTTAAAACATTTTTTTGTCAGAGACTTTGTTATTCTTAATTTTGACATTTTCATTTTTACACCAGACTTCTATATTGTTTAAAATATTAGTTATTGGTCTACTTGATCTGTAATAATCGGTATTGACATCTGCCCTAAAAAACACATATCGGTCAACCCCTATTTTCAATGTTGATATTAAGAAATATTTAGCACCAAATCAGCATGTGTACGATTCTGACACTGGCTGCTGAAAATTCAGTTTTGCCATCACCGGAATTAATTACTTTTTGTGTTAAAATAGAAAACAATTATTCTAAATTGTAATAATATTTCACAATATTACTATTTTTACTGTATTTGTGATCAAATAAATGTGTCCTTGGTGAGAATAAAAGGCTTCTTTCGAAAGCATTTAAAAATCTGACATCAAACATTTGAATGTTACTATAAGAGTAGAAATGAAACACTTAGAGTTGTTTATGCTCTGTGTTTGTTTATGGGAAGTCTCTGTGATTGTTTTTATTAATATTGTTTCAAACCATTTGATATTTTTTTACTAACACCAATAAAGACCTTAAAGGGATAGTTCACCCAAAAATGGAAATTCTGTCATTAATTATTTACCCTCATGATGTTCCAAACCCATAAGACCTTCGTTCATCTTCGGAACACAAATTAAGATATTTTTGATGAAATCCTTGAGCTTTCTGACCCTCCATAGGCTGCAATGATATTACCACGATCAACGCACAGAAACGTAGTAAGGACATCATTAAAATAGTCCATGTGACATCAATGGTTCAAACGTAATTTTAGGAAGCTACGAGAATACTTTTTGTGCACAAAGAAAACAAAAATAACAACTTTTTTCAACAATTCTTCTCCTTTTACTTAATTAATAACCTAATTTAATCAAAAATATCTTAATTTGTGTTCCGAAGATGAACGAAGTTCTTACAGGTTTGGAATGACATGAGGGTGAGTAATTAATGACAGAATTTCCATTTTTGGGTGAACTATTCTTTTAATTGTGTGTGGGACAGTGTGTGGGCCACCACATGTGTGCACAGCTGTCTGATAGTGTGCTCACAATGTAATACAGTCTCATTCTCATTGGCTCAGAGCTCTTTACAGCCCTTAACTGGAATTGTTGGAATTGGACTGCTGGAATTGTTTGATTTATTAAAAAGTGGTCTATTATAACATAAGAAGTGAAGAAATCTTGTCTGGATTGATTCAGAAAATAAGTGTGAATATTTGCCCGTGAACTTGCTCATGTGGGCGTGTGTTGATGTGTGTGTGTATGTGTATGTGTTGCACAGAGCAAGTATCAGCGCGGATCGTGCAGGAGGTTACGGCCGAAGCGGTAGCGGTACTGAAGGGAGAGCAGGAGCTGCATCCGGACACTGCCGTCAGGCTGCCATCAGGTAGGCCTGCAGGAGAGCCTCCTGAGATACTGGAGGTTGGCCACACTCAGGCCTGCTCTTGAAGGACTTTATTGCATTGATGAGACATGCAGAGATGAGGAGATAAAAATGGAAGGCAGTGGGAACAGTAAGGATTTTTATTTTTTATTGAATTCCTTCTCGGAGGTGCTTCCAGGAGGCTGTTAGCAAAGTGTACAGACACTGGTCACACATATTTTTTGCTGTTTATAATTATATAATTCTGGGTAGTGAGTCTTTGTGATTTATTTTACACTTTAAGGTAATAATTCACCTAAAAAGTTTAATTGTCACCATTTACTACACCATATTTCTTTCTTTATTGGAACATAAAAGGAGAAATCTGAATAATGTACAGTTTGTGCATGTATGTACACTACTGTTCAAGTGTTTGGGGCCAGTAAAAAAAATTGTTTATTCAGCAAGGATTAATTAAAGTGACAGTAATAGAATGATTAGATATTAGAATGATGTTAGAATGATATTAGAATGACTTTTCAAGGATCATGTGACACTGAAGACTGAAGTAATGGATGCTGAAAATTCAGCTTTGCCATCAAATTACATGTTAAAATATATTAAAGTAGAATAGTAGTTGTAGTTATTAGTAGATATTTTAATTTGTAATATGTCATAATATTACTGTTTAACTGTATTTTACTGTAACCTTTGAACAGTATTGTACTTTAATAGTTATTGGAAACTGTTGCTTTTAAGTTTCAGAAAGGATGCAAAAAAAAAACATTAAACGTATAAGAAAAGTAGTCTAGTTGTCTTGTGCGCTACATTGTAAGTCTTCTAAAACTATACAATAGCTTTATGTCATGAACTTAAAATAATAACCCTTCATGAATCAGACATCACTACGTAACATACTGTACGCTACAGTAGGTGAGCTAGTGCATATGTCAAGAGTTTTAGTTAATTTTCATTTTCAGATGAACTGTTCCTTTAAATGTTTACATCTTTTCATGTTTGTCAAACACAACATGGAGAGACAGCACTCAAATAAGTTTTATTTTTGCTTCCCTATCTCTGTTGTTCTGTGTGTCCGTTCCTCGTTCTGTGTGAAAACTGATCAAAGCTGTGGAAAGCATCAGCAGGGCACTTGCTCTTCCTTTATAATGGCATATCTGCCCTGACAGCTGGCTTGTCCCAGCTCCTCTCTGCTTGATTTCTGTACCCACCCGCCCCTGGCTATCTCTCTGTGTGTGCCAACGCAGGGCATTAGGGTGAACCTTTAGCCCTCTCTGTCTTTAATGGCTGCCTGGTCATAGTAAAAGTTGACTTTTGTTTCCTGGTTTCTGTGGTTGTGCTGCATGTCTTTTGTGCTGTGGTTTTATCTGAGCTTTCTTGGTTTTGAAAGTTCATTTGTGAGCATGTGTTGCTACTGTATGTCAGTTTCAGTGTTTTGACAGTGACTTTATGAGGACTGTGCAGTATGCTGGTGACATTAGGTTGTGAATTTACTTATTGAAGGGCTGTATGTGATGATGCATAATTGTTCACATCATTAGAAAGCTAAAATAGTACAAACAGTACATATAATGGCACACATGAACATGAACTTGAGGTTATCCTTTTTTCCCATTACAAATTCAGTTCAAAATGTTCAGATGCTTCATTGTCAGACTTCAAAGAAAAAGGAAAAATGAAATCAAATCTATAGCTCTAAGTTTCCACTTGCTGTGCTGGAATTAGTCAGCAAAATTAGATAATGATTTCTGCACTAACACGCTTGATGTTGAGTCAGTCTGTCAGAAGAGCTCAAAGGATTAGAGACGGCAAAGTATTCAGCATTCCAATCCTGAGCTCTGACTCCTCTCTGCTCAGCATATCCTTAGAAATAACTCTCTCGCACACACAACCCCATTTATTTCTTTTGGGTGGGTGGGGGGATTTTACATTTAAATCTATTGTTATTAAACTGCTTGCCCCTTGGAGTCCCTTTATAAGCTAATACAAGCTAATTGCATTTTAACATACAATGAATCTATTTTTCCTTGTTAAAACATGCCCACTGGGTTTCACAGGGTTTATCTTTCTTGCGTGGGCATTTACAGAAATTTTGCATACTTAAAATTAAGAAAATGTCTGATCAGAGTTGGCTTGCATTTCCTGATCTAGATCCCTCTACTTCTGATTATCATTACCTGTCTGTTCTTTACTATAGTTACTATTTAAAGGCCAAAAAAAGACCAAACTCATATTTGTAGACTCATATTCCAAAACCTTGCTTACTTTATGTACAATAACTGTTTTAAAGTTTGGCCCCATTTCTCAGCAGCAGTTACTCAGTGCCACATGGTCCTTCAGAAATCATTCTAATGATTATTAATGTTGAAAAGAGTTGTGCTGCTTAATACTTTTGTGGAAATTATGATACATTTAGCATTTATTTAAAATAGAAAATAATATTTTGCAATATTAGAAATGTTTTTACTGTGACTTTTGAGCAATTTAATGCATCTTAATATTAAAGACAGACCCCAAACTTTGAATGGTGTTTGTTTTCAGTAGTTCACTAAGCTCATCATGATATGATACTCTAGTAAGCATTAAAATACATGGCACATAAATATTGAGGGAAAGAATCAGGTTATTAATTAATTAAGTTAAAAAAAAGTATGTACTTTTTAGTATTATTGTTTAGTTTAGTTATAATCAATATTTCTCTTGCTTTGTCTGCCATCTTGGATAGATGTTTTTCATCTTCTTCATGAAGGACACATGCATCATTTTCTTAGAATTTGAAGAACCTTAGAACTTTACTTCAAACCTCCTACTGTATGTTGCCTTAAAATTCTTTCTCTGTAGGCAGTTCAGTTGGTTTTATAACAGACACACAATGGGACGCCCGAACTGTAAATGTGTTGATCTGATCTTGAACATTGTCTTGATCTCTTCTTCTTTTCTTCTGTTTGTTTGCAGTGGAGGACTCTGCAAACCTGCCGCCCTCACCTCCTCCGTCCCCAGCAGCAGAGCATTTTGGGCCTTTGGATCAAGGTAGGGTCATGCTTCTTGTGTGTATGGAGAGAGGTGAGAAACACACTGAAAGAACTTGAACACCTTTTTTCCCATGAGTATTCCGGTCGCCTTCTGACCCTGGCTTGAATGAAGGTGTTCTATTTGGGGACGCCTGCTAGTCCCACCCCTTCCAGGCTGATTTCACCCCTGTCACAGTGCCCTACAGACCCCCACGCTCCACTGATTTGTGGGGCCGGTCCAACGTTTGATGGAGTTGTGTTTGCAGGATCAACTTTGCCTCCATTGTTGACATCATTCAAGTCGACCTCCTCTTCCTCATCCAGCATCTCCAGCTCTTAAACATGGGCTCATCTTCATCATTGCTAACTCCGGGAGCTTATCTTGATCAAAAACTCACGCCAAAGTGACACAACCCCTTTCCAGTTCTCCTAACCAATCAAACTCAACCTCTTCTTATACCCCACCCAACCATGGATCTTGACTCCACTCTGCATGAAAGCCTTGAACCTTGAACTGAATGCTGCGCTGTCTCACCAGCAGCTCATGTTTCCAGGCTGTTGCTGAAACTGTGTGGCATTCAGGATGCCTGCTCATCCTCTCTCCAAAACCAGATCTGTTGATTGCTCCAAACCTTTCTCAGTTCCTCTGTGCGTCCTTGTCTTTAGTTTTGCATGTTGTGTCGTAGATGCTGTTGATGTTGTAGGCTTGTGCTCGTTCGTCATTTTGACTGTGTCTGTCTGTACTGCCTGTGGTAGGTCCATGCCATGCTCAGATCACTCTCTGAAGATACTAAACTAAACATTAATGTCATTAACACAATCACTAACAGCCTTCAGGAGAAGCTATGCCAAATGCAGTCATTAAGCTCATACTTAAAGTCAACATGAAATCCAAATGTACTCATTATTTAATACATGTCCCTGGTATTATTGTGCATAACTTTCTCAACTTTTGAACAACTTTCCTTTGTGGCTGATGTCATCTTGGCCAAAATAATTTTAATCAGGGATGAATATATTGTCATCATCAGTTTTGTCTGATATTCCCGTTTTTTTTTTTTGTAAAGTGTGGGTCTGTATTGTATATGTAATTGACTATTTAATTATATATGCACATTTCCACCTATTTTTACGTAGAGTCATTTTAACTTTGCTGTCATCTATGCTCATTTAAAGTTAAAATGATATACAAATATTTACACTTTATTTTAAGGTGTCCTTGTCACAGTGTAATTATACATTTATGTACTGAGAAATATCAGTTAACTACATGTACTTACTATATGGTTAGGATTAGGGTTTGGTTTAGGGTTAGTTGCATGTAATTATGCATAATTTATTGTTGTTATAATAGTAAGTACATGAAACATGTATAACAAGGACACCTTAAAATAAAGTGTTACGCTTGAATTTAGTGAATGTTGAATCTGTATCGGTTATGAAATAGCCTATGAAACTGATATGGCAATAAACAACATTCAACTTATTTAACAGAATTATGTTAAATGAATACTATTTATTTCTTGAGTGTTTTATTTTCTATTTTTTATGCAATATAATATGGAATTTTTCTATTGGCCAATTATCGGCTAAGAGGAAAATAATTATCGACTTACTGGCACTCACTTATCAAACTATTTGTGCATCCCTATTATTATTTTGCTAGTTATATAATGTTTCACTCAAATATTTCACATTACAAAAGTAAAATTCATGTTGACTTTAAGCAGAAACTTAATATTGATGCAGTTTCATCTGCTTTAGATCTTTCTCACTTTCAGACAAACCTCTACAATGTTCAGACTCTGGTTATGGCATAGCACCGCTACAGTCACACTTTGTGTTTCTCGACACTGTGTGTTTGTGTTGTGTGTGTCTGTGTCTTTTTTTCGTACACATACTCCTATCTTGTTTTATTTCTTTCCACCTGACTTTTTTTAGCTCCTTATTCTCCCCCTCTCTCTCTGTCTCTCTCTCTTTATCTCCTCCCTTCCCTTCTCAATTTTAGCATATTCTTATTCACCTCCTTTTTTACGTTCTATCTTTCACTTGTTCCTTTTTCCTCCCTTACTTGCTCCGCCCTTTCTAGCTTCCTTCCTTTTCCTCTCTGTCTCTTTGTCTCTGTCTCTTTGTCCAGATTTCCCTGCAGTTCTTTTCCTTGTGTCTATTTGTAGATGTAGGGGATGAGGAGGAAGCAGGTCCTCTCCGCCGCTTCCAAAATTCTCGCGAGAGGTGCAAGTTCCTCGCCCCCTCCATCTCAGTGTCTGTGCCTGAGGATGACCCCTACCACTCTGACGAGGAATACTATGAGCACCCTTTATTCAGCCCAGAGTGGACGCGCTCTGGCTCTCGCCCCCCAGGGCAGGCCGCCGCGTTTAGACAGATCGAAGGTGAACCTCGCATGGTTCCTCTCTGCCATTCTCTCCTCCCCTCCTCCTTCTTTTTCTCTCTCTTTCCTTCCACTTCTTTCTTTAGCTCAGCATCAACACCTCCCTCTCTCTCACTCTCGCTCTCTCTCTGGTCTGCCTCTTCCTGTCTTTTGTCTCCGTTGTGTCGTGCCCACTCTGACCGAAGCGTGTCTTGTGGGGGTGGTATCTGTTTTTGTACCTTGTTCATTGCAAGTCATTTGGATTTTGCACAACTTTTGTGCCGTGCAGTAAAAAGGCACGAGCGTTTTTGTGTTTTTAGGCAAAATTCCCGCTGCTATGGTGGAAAGGAGGAAAATCATTGACTCTGAAAATGAAATCCAAATGACTTGCAGCATCAGCAGGACATTTGTGCATGCTGTGCACATTTCCTCCTTTGCCTGTTTGCCGTCTTCTTGTCTCTGCATCTGTCCGACCGTATGTTAGCCTGTCTGTCCATTTGTATTTTTGATTGTCCCCATCAGGCCCAAAATGTACTCATGCGTCTCAACAGGCCCCTCACATTTCTCCAACCTGCTGATGTACACATGCTGTAGATCACAGGAAGACTTTCAGCTCTTCACATGGTGACCCACACACACACACAAGCATCTCTGACCTTATTGCATCAGTGAAGAAAGACTTAATCACTTTCAGCACCAAAACGATTTCTACACTGTGGGTTGTGTTTCCAATTTAACTAGGGTTGGTGATCAAGAACTTAGAAAATAGTAGAACCATTTTTTTTTCTTTATTGCTTCATTTTGGCTAAGCTATGAGCTTGCAATCTAAATTGAATTTGATGAGAATCAGTAGACAATAATGAATCAGTGAAAAACTCTCATTTATGTCCAATTCGAAATAAACTGAAAACTGTTCATGAGTTATGTATGATTATTGCTTGAGATTACTGACTAATCTGACAACATGTAGTTAAAGCAGTGTTATTTTAGTATTATTGATATACTGTTATATTATTTAATCATATTTTGAATTAGCTTATTAATTTTAGTTTTGTTACATGCTTTGGCCATTTTTATTAGTTTTTTATATTTCTATTCAGCTTTAATTTATTTTTCACATTTATTTTATTTTATTTTATTTTATTTTATTTCATTAATACTTTTAGTTTTAAAAGTAGGTTGTGTTGCTTCCTTAAAAGTACTAAAATAATCCATTAACGGGATCATTAAGTGGAATTAGAATCATTAAATCCCTTAAAACTTTTGACATTGAGTTTGCTGCCATTTGTCCTCCTCTCCCTTTTTCTCTCCCTCATGCACTCTCTCTTCTCTCATCCCTCGTTCCACTGCAGCATCCTGCTGAGATATGACCTGGTGTGGTCTGTGTCTCCATATCTAGCCTGGCTCCCAGCAGAGACTGTTGCTGTTCCTTATCTCTCTTTCTCTCTGTCTCCCTCTCTCTCTCTCTGAGAAGGAACTACATCATAAGCTTTGTTGCTGAACAAGAATTCTGCATCCCCGGTTTTACATTCATACTGACATCTCAATAACTCCCTGACTGGCATTATTATGTCGCTGTTCGTTTCGTTCAGTCTCAGTTAACAGAGACAATGCAGATGCTCACAGCATTGTGTGCAAGTGTGTTGTGTGCAAGTCATATTTTCATGTTCAAGAATAAAATTGAAGAAATGAAGGAGCTGATGTAGACTATTTGTCATAAACTTTTGAAATAAGCATTAATAATGTAACTGAGAGGTACATATTTGGAAATTAATAATCTGGTTCTTTAGAGTTTTTAGAATTTTTATTTTTTCAGCCTGTAGGGAACCAACTGCCATTGCATATTGTCTGAAAAACTGATTTAAGCACTATCACAGAAGCAAGATTGGTTTTCTGTTGAATATCAGCATGATTTTATTGGATGTAGGTAGCAGTTCTGAAAACCAGTTTCATTTTAGCCACAATATGGCCAGTATTCTGTTTCATTTTGCTCTTCTAATGAAAATTATTCTAAACGAAGCCAAAGTGAAATCAACTGATGTATGTCAGTTGAGTAAAACAGACAAGCGGAGTGATTAAAACTGATTGTTTTTTAGTCAAATATATTACTAAAAATGGTTCTTTGTAATTGTGAGAAAAGAATCAGCTACCTCTGTTTATTTTAAAAATAAAAATCTAAAACAAGTACAGTATGTGCAGAATCAGATTTTTGATCAGAATCAAGAATCTTGTTTGATGTGCATGAACATCTTCCTTATTCACCTCTATCTACCACTACTTCATATACTCAAGGTCAGAGAAAACTCCACATATACATTTTACAAAAGCCATAAACTGCATTAGATATGTCCTCATAACTGATAGAGCTGAAAGTGTCCCACCAGGAGGAGGAGGAGCAGTGGAGTGGGGAGGAGCCTGAGCAGGAACCCCCATCTGAGCTCCTAGAGCGGGCAGAGGTCATAGGCGAGGCCCAGGCTCTGCCCGGTCTGCAGGCTGAGGTTCACACACAGGCAGCTACTGCTGCCGACGAGGCCACTAATGGGAGAGCTGAGGAAGCAGGGGGGCAAGAAAGCCCTGCAGAAGGTGTGTCCATCCTTCTCACAACCTGCATGTTTCTCTCTCCCAACAACAACAACAAAAAAAAAAGCAAAGTGAAAGCATCGTGAAAGCTTTCTGAGGGAATGTGGGTGGATGGCTCAGATATCTCCTCTATCTGCTGATGCTGCAAGGCAACACAGGCTTGATGGTGACCAGCTTCTGTGGCCAGAGCTGTGTGTCTGTCTGTCAATGTCTTTCTACTTAAAGCTTTTCCCAGAGCAGCTGCCATCTGCTAGCTATCTGATTAAGCTTTTTCTGAAATTTACTGCTTGTTTCTCTATTGATGCTACTGCTGCCAGGTCGACCGCTTCCATATATTTTTATCCATTGCTCAGTTAATTTTTATTTGCCAGTTACATTGCCAGTTTGTGGGTGATTTTTGCTGCATGCTCCAACAAACACCTGTGGGATTCTATGAGAATCCTCTGTTTTTGTGATATTGTGATATTGTGTTATGCTTCATTTTCAAAGGCTTTTGAAAAGCTAAGCTTGTTGATTTAATGTAAATTGTGTTTCATTTTCATTTTATTTTATTTTTTCCAAAGCGTTGTCATTTCACATGGTTACATAAGTGTTTTTTATTCCTTTTATTATGCAAAATGCAAAACAATTTTGAATAATTAAAAACCCTGTATTATTTCAGCATCAATTTAAGGCAATTATAGCCACATGTGTATGTGTAATATCTGGTTATATGAAAATCACTATTCATTTTCCATAATCTCTGAATATGTATTTGGCAGAAGTTTTTAGATCAGCTATTCCATCTTGCTGCTGGTGTAATGATGTCAGTATCGTGTTCGGTCCACTTCCTTGGATATTTCATCCTCATTTTCTGGACCTCATCCACGCAACATTAAATGTTCTGGGTCTGCATGCTGGTCCTGTCATATCCATGCCATCACTCCATCACTGAATTGGTATGTGTGTCTCATCGGCTGCTGCTATTTGAAAGTGGACGTTCATTTGACGAAGAGCTTTGCCTGTTTGTGGGTGGTTGGCCTGGCAAACATATTGTACTTTGAATGATTAATAATACTATACAATGCAGACTACTTGAGATTTGCTTTCAGCTGTGAAGATGGAAGCAGAGCGACCAGACAGTGAAAGGACAGATCCCATTGGCATGGACTTCACTGAATCTGCAATGCATCTAGATGATGAACTCCCATCTTACCAGAGCCTTGGCAGAGACACAGATATGCCAGAAAGCCCCTTTGCTCGAACATGCCCCATGGAGGATTTTGAAGTGCCTCCAAGTGACCAGGGTCATGCCAAAGAACCTTGCGAGACTCCAACTGAAAAGCCTGATGTACAAAGTGGTGCTGTGAAACAGCCTTCAACCGAAACATGTGACTCCAGCAATATCCATGAGGTCAAACCAGCGCAAATTGAAGACAAACAAATGGAAATAACAACAGAGGGGGACATGAAGGACAAATCTGGGATGTCTGCTTATTTTGAGACCACTACAATTAAGACAGATGCCTCCGGGTCTCAAGGAGAAGGGTATTATGAACTGAGTACTAAATCAGAAGAACAGAAGGACTCTGTTGGTGACCTACCACTTCCTGAAATCAGTTACAGCACCTTGGCCCAAACACACTCTTTGGAAGTCCAACCAGATCTTCCGAACAGTAGCCCAGACACACTACACACTGCTTTACCTGTAGACAGAAGAGATGACTGCAGACTGTCTCCTGGAAAACTGGCACTAGAGCAACGAAGTTACTCTTTAAATATTAGCATTGGTGCAATGGATCATGGTGATGCCCAAGGACGTCCAAGAAACTTCTCTCCGTTAGCCACTGACATCATGTCTCATACTAGTGGAAGCCTTGACGAATCTGCCGATTACCTTCCTGTCACCACTCCCTCAGTAGAGAAGCTCCCTCAGTTTCCACCACTGATCCTGGAGACAACTGCCTCTACCACAACTCCATCATCTTCACCTCCCCAGGCAACAGTCACTGATGTAAAGACAAGTCCACAGTCAGAGTCTCCAGAATCCCCTGTCCAAGCTAAGAGCTGTTATAAGAACGGCACCGTCATGGCCCCAGACTTGCCTGAAATGCTGGACTTGGCAGGTACTCGATCAAGGTTGACATCTGACAACACTGACCCAGAGATTATGAGAAGGAAGTCTGTCCCAATGGACATGTCTTCTCTAGTAAGTGATTCTTTTGCACATTTGTTCAAAGGTGACCAGGGCCAGATGGCTACAAAGAGAGAAATGCAGTTGGAGGAGCAAGGATATTGTGTTTTTAGTGAATACTCTGGTCCCATGCCGTCGCCTGCGGATGTGCACAGTCCAATGGACTCATCTCCTCAAATCTTCAACACTGTGATATCAGAGGAGAAGGAAACTGGTCTTGTTGCATTTGGACAACAGGAGTGTCCATCGACTGAAGATCTGAAACCAACAGAGGTTGTTAAGCCACAGGCAAAACCAGAAGAAGAAAAGCAGAAGAATGAAGAATCCTTTGAAATTGAAAGTACACCTTCTGAAAAACCTCCTGTACAGACTAAGCAAGAGGAGTCTGATCTTTTGAAGACTGAACATTTGGAAGAAACTAAGAGTCCAACTTTACCTGATAATGAGAAAGGACAGTTAGACAAACAAGCTGAAACCTTTATCACGCCGAAGGTGACGGTAACTATGGAAGACGCAAAGCCTGATCTTGATGCAGGTTCCAAACTTGCAGCTGAAACCGAAGCTGAAATAGCTGACTATGAGAGGCAAATTCGCAAATTGGAGATGGAGGACCGACCTTTGAGTGTAGAGGAGGAACGGGAGCTCCAGGAACTCAGGGAGAAGGTGAAGAATAAACCAGACCTTGTGCATCAGGAAGCTTATGAAGAGGTAGATGCAGAGGATGTATACCAACTCACTGGAGCTGCAAAGGACAGAATTGCTCGGCCCATCAGACCATCCCCAGCATCTTCTGTAGAAAGTGCTACCGATGAGGAGAAAATGCATGTTAGTGACACTGAAAAACCTAGATCACCAGGTGAGAAAGAAGCTCTTAAAACAGATCCTAATAGATTATCTCCTGTTGGGTCTTTTGAGAAATATTTTAGAGAGGAGAGACCTTCTGAGCAGGAGGTAAAGCAGAAAGACTCAGTACAGCCCCTCAAAGAGAAAGTTGCTGAGGAGAAACCTCAGCCAGCTCCTTCCAAGACAGACGAGGCTCCTCTTGACACCACAGTAACTCAAGAAGTAGAGGAAGAGGTGGAGCTTGCTGAGGAGCCTGATGAGGTCATGCCAGAACCAAAACCAGCACTTAATGTGGAAGAGAAGCCGGTGGTAGATACAACTGAACCAGATGAGGTTGTGGTTGAAAAAGAGGAGGAAAAACTGGTTGAGAAAGAAGAAGTGGAAGATGAGGAAATCTTGGAAGGGGCCAAAGCTGCAGAAGACACTGCTGAGCCTAGAGCTGCGATTGAGTCAGTAGTGACAGTGGAAGATGACTTTATTACAGTAGTGCAGACCATTGATGAGAGCGAAGTCTCTGGACACAGTGTACGCTTCTCAGCTCCACTTGAGAAGGAACATCAACAGCTCCTCCAAGAGGAAGAAGAGGAGGAGGAGTCTGTGGAAATGGCACAGGAAGTAGAGATGGAGGCTCCCAGTTTGGAGGAAGCTATAGATGTTCCAGAGCCTGTTGAGCCTCCTGTATGTCCAGCTAAAGAGATAGAAGTACCAGAGAGTGAGGCCCCAACCCAAAGCTATGATGACTACAAAGATGAAACTACCATTGATGACTCCATCTTAGACAGCTCCTGGGTGGATACTCAAGGTGTGATTTTAATATCTGTTTTGCATGAAATTTGCTCAGCAAATGACGAAACCTTTCAGAATTGTCTTGAAGTTAACTTGTTTTCTATCTTTTTAGGTAACAGTTGTATATTAGTTGGCTTGCCAGTATACAGCAGTACAGAATTTTACGTTTCTGTGAGGGCCATGTTAGATTTCAAGTAAATGCATGTTTACAGCCTGGTATAACAGTAGCTTGCCTGTTTCACCTCATGTACTCTGTAGATGATGATAAGAGCATGGCCACAGAGAAAATTGAGCCTCTACCGAGAGTGATGAGCCCTGTCAAGAAACCACCCGCGGAGAAACCAGCGAAACAGAGGGCTAAAGGCGGCAGGACCAAAGGACGAATCACCACCCCTGAACGCAAACCTGTTCGCAAAGAGCCGGTACCCATCCAGAAGGATGAGATTAAGAAGAAAAAAGGTTTTTGTTGCTGGAAGTGACATTGTGTTTTGTTTTGTTTGTATATTCTGTTTTTTTTTTTTCATTATGACATTTCCCCTTCACATTTTTCAACAAAATTGAATGTTTAAATCTTAATGCTTATTTCCACTGTGATTAGATGTCATGTATAAAATCCAAAACTTTGTATTATTTTAATTTTATTATTATTTTTGAGACAACAGTGTCAGATTTAACTAAACCTATGAAGTGCATGCGATTTTACAGTAGTTAGATTATTCTGAATTTCAATTAAATTTCATCACATTTGCTTTTTTCATTACATCTTTGTTAAATTAGTGTTTTAGTGAAACATTATTTGACTGTATCTCCTATCGTCCTGAGTTGTACTGCTGTGGTGCCTGTCCTTGATTCTGTGTCTCCCTCTTGTAGCTGTGATTAAGAAGGCTGAGCTCACAAAAAAATATGATATTCAGACATGCTCTCCTTCCCGGAAGAGTGTTTTAAAGGCTACCGTAAGGCACCCTAGGCCTACCCAACATCACGCGTGTGTTAAGCGGAAACCCACAGGTGATCTCTGTCACAAGCTGTTTGCAATGTGGCTGGCAAACATGGGCATTGGCATGTTGCTTTAAGAGTGATGCTTGTCTATTTGATTTGTTTTTCTTTTTATGTATTTTACATAGCAAATTGTATAAGTTACGCAAGTTGTATGTTCATTCAGTGTTTGTAATGAGGCTCACTGGTGTTTTATTCAATTGTTTTGCTTATGTTTTCATTTTCTTATAGCTTGACCTTTCTTTTTGCTGTCTGCATGTGTTCTCTCAGTTTCTGTGCTTATTCACACTTCGTTTTCTTTTCAAAGTGGCACTGCTTATTGAATATTGTGAAAATGTGGTGCATCCAATCACTTTGTGTGTTTGTCTGTGGGTTAATTTTAAAGGATATCCTTTTGACTTAAATGTGTTAGACAGTTTATGAGGTGCAGCATAGAGTAATCACTATTTCCTCTCCTTTTGTAACATTTCTATTCAGTTGTATACAACATTCAGGGACCAATTGCACTGGTAACAAAGGCAACTGGTGGTTTGAGTGAGTTCTGGGCACTCCGTTAAGAGAAATCTGGAGGAAAGGAACTTGCTGCGCCATAATAAAGTTCCACTGTTAGATTTCTGGGAACTGTGCTTGAATTTATGTTGGACATCTGATACATTGCTGCAATGCCCCAATTAGATGTTACTGAACAGCCTTTTATGTAATACAGTTCATTTTCAAATTCTCTGTTATTCTGTGCCAAGTAGTTTCAGAGCAGAGCTTTCCAGTAGCTACAAAATATTTAGCTGTGGGTAATGGTCGGTTTCATTTTTGATCCTAAATAGCCCAATTAGAAGTACCTTGGCTTGGGCATTTAAAAAAATAACCGGGTGTTGGTTAAGTCTTAAAAACATAAGTGAATCAAAAAATCCCAGTTTAATATTCAGGGACAACTACAAGTAAGCAATTTGCATGTTGATTTGCTTGAAAAGTTAAACACTGTGTCATAAAGCAAGGCCAGACACAATGGGTAAGTGAAAGACAGGATGGTTTATTGATAGAAGAGGTGGATGAGTGGAACGGGTTAGGTTAAGGCAGGTGAGTGTCAACAGAGTGAATGATTCCAGGGTTCTTATCTGAGTTCTGAGGGTGAGTGTCTGATGCCGGTTTCGTGGGAGATCGTGGAACAGCTTCCAAGGAGTCGTTGGAGGATCGCGGGAGAACCAGAAGGTAAGTCTTTCTAGGAGAATATCGTATAGAGAGGCCAGAACAGTCCATAGGAGTGAACGGTAGACCGGACAGTGAGTGACTGTGATGTGTGTGTATTTGTAGTGTGCCTTGATTGGTGACAGCAGGTGCGGGTGATCAGAACTGAGGTGACTGTGATCGGGTGATTATCCTGGCTGGTGACTGCAGTGACTGTGATGAATCCCTGACACACTGTGGTTCTGTGGCACTTTCAGAACATTTTCTTTTGTTAGTTGGATCATCTGACCAGCTCACTTAGCAACATTAACTCAACATAACTCCTGTTTGAGGCAGGACTATCTGTTTGACAAGTCATAGCTGTCACATTGCACACTTCAGTTTTACAAAATAAGTGTAAAATAAGTATAAAAAGGCTTTTTTTAAAGAAAAATCATACTATATGTGAAGCACATGTGGCTGCTTTTGTATACAAGTTTGCATTTGCTGTGTATTTGCTTGTGTGTAATGTTCAGTTTGTTTTATTTTCATTGGAGAGCATATGACTCAATGGTCATGGTCACAGTATGCATTTCTTCTCTTTATCATCCTCAGCCTCTCTTTTTCTCTTTATCTTTGCAGTGTCTGCAGATGGTCGACTGCCCTTCAGTGTGGCCAGGCACTCCAGAGACAGAGCATCTGTAAGCATCACATTAGATTTAAATCATATACAAATATGATGATCCCAATTAAAATAGGTTGTCAATAGATAGTCCAGTCTATATACTAGTGATCAGCTCAAGTACTAAGAAATAACAGCAATTATTAATAATGAAAGGCTATTTTGGGGAACTTTTTTTAAAATCAACTTCAGAACTTGTCACACATCAAATTACATTGACAACTACACTCGGTCCTCTTGTTCGTTTTGTCATTAGTTATGCCATATTTTTTGTGGTACCAATGATGAATTGAAATGAATTCAATATATACAGTACATACAGTATAGCCTCTTTGCACCTCAGATGCCTCCCTGGTTTCCACTCTTTGTATTGCCTGCTCATCGCATCTCATATCCGTTTTGTGTTTGTTTTACAAGTTTGCATGACCTTTTTGCCTTATTTCTTTTAACCTTAAACTGAGACATAGTGCCCCCTCAAGCAGTTTAATGGTCCATGTATTAATACAACATTAAAGAAAATAGACGTTGTCTTCTTTTTATGCTTGTTTATTTTTAATTCCTGAGTGGTTTTGCATTCTGGTAAATGCCCTTGTATCCCCAAATGTGTGGTCAGATGTTGCTCATTTCGTTTGGTTAAACATGCTGCCATGCTGATTTTCATTCATTCTGCTCATGTTTTTGGTTTCATTTTCACTGTGCATGAATGGCTCATCTGTCCGTGTTCCTCTCATCATAGACCTCCAATCCCACAACACTAACAAAGATCCCCACTTCTAAAATTCGGGCAGAGGCTTTGCTGCCAGCCCGGCCGAACTCGGCCAGCTCCTCCAATAAAAGGAGCGCATTGGTGGAGGCAGATCTTTATGAGCCCCGCCCTTCCTCAGCGGGCCCACAAGTATCGCTAAATTCATATGCTGTAAAGGTAAGCAGGGAGCAAGATGTGTTGGAAAACTATTTGCTTCTGAACATTACTAACTAATCTAGAACTTTCCAAAGAGGAAGCCATCCTAAAATTTATGATTTTCTCACCTCATGTTGTTGCAAATCTGCATGATTTGTTGAAGTGTTATGAATTATAGAGAGGTATTTTCCATAACATTGAGTTAATTGGAAGAAATAATGCTAAATTTCAAATAATGACATGAGGGGGAGTAAATTTTAATTCGGGGGTGAACTATCCCATTCCTATGAACTATCCCATAAGTTCACCATGATTCTAACAGGATTAATGACTTTGTCCTCAGGATGGTGGTTCTCGGAGCCCAGAGAAAAGGTCATCCCTTCCACGGCCAGCATCCATATTAACTCGCCGCCCACACATGGCTGATCATGAGGAGAGCTCCACTTCCATTACCAGCTCTGGGTCCACAGCACCACGCAGGCCCACATGTAAGAGGCATTCTCATGCACCTGTAAAATCTCTATATTTTTTTATTGATTCTATCTCTATAGATAGAAATAAAAATAGTGATTTTTTTATTTCTATTGAATCAGAATTTTTTTTATTTGATTTTGTTTGAGACAGATTACTGTGACAAAGAAACTTACTCTTTTTTTTGTACTTAACAAGATTTATTAATGCACATCCTGACATCTATAACACAATACTGAAGTAACGTACGTGGCTTATAAAATTAAAAATATATTTTTTAAATACAAGTACAGTACAACCACATAATGTAATAATATTTGACAATGATCAGACTTTATCACTGATTTTGATTATACTATTATATTTGATAAGTCATTTTATCAATATTGCATGGTTTTTATTTGCATATTCTTTCACAAAAAGCCAGTATGCACTGCAAAATTTATGAAAGAAGCACTAATCTAAACAGTTTTTTTAGGTGCCTGAAGAATCTGAAGTGTTTCTTTAAAGCTTTTTGGACATATTCGGATATATTTTAGGACACGTTCAATCTCTGCTTCCATATCTACGGACTTTCTTTAACTCATACTCACTATATACTCACTCCTCTCTTCCCCTGCTCCTGTAGCGTTCCGTACTGAAGTCAAAGCAGAGCACAGGACAGGCAGGTCTCATAGTATGACAGGTATAGAGTATCAGTCCCTAATGTTTCACCCTGTTTGTTGTCGGTCTTTCATACCTGCTGTCCTGTGCAGGGATACAATCACCATAAAAATACAGTGCCATTAAAGGGGTCATATGATGTTGCTAAAAAGAACATTATTTGGTGTATTTGGTGTAATGAAATGTGTTTATGCGGTTTAAGGTTCAAAAAACAAATTATTTTCCACACACTGTACATTATTGTTTCTCCTCTATGCCCCGCCTTTCTGAAACGCATGGATTTTTACAAAGCTCATCGGTCTGAAAAGCGAGGTGTGCTCTGTCACGAACAGCTTGTAACACTCCAAAGAGAAAGAAAAACTTGAAATCGCATCATATGACCCCTTTAAAAGTTATTCATCTCCAATGCACATTTAGTTACAGCATTGAAACCACAATGTTCCACTCATGTAACTAATTCAAAAAGGGTGAATAATTTTCATAGGCACTGTTATACATAAGGATTTTTTGTCTCCACTTTTTTGTCTCCACTTTTGTCTACACTTGTCTTTTCCATTATGCATGTGAGTATAAACACTGTTCTACACTGTGTTTGTGCCATTTCAAGTCCATCAAAAATGTTTGTATACATCATCATCTACAGTGGGGACCAAAAGCCTGAAAAAAACGCAACACGCTTGTTATCCAGTAAAATGATCTAAAAATCTTTAAAACAATACACACTTGCTTGAGAAGCAACATTGCGTAAGTTTTTAATTATATTAAAAATAGTAATTTATACAAAGCAAGTGAAAAAATCACAAATAAATAATATTTATTTAAAAATGTGTAGTCTCTGGGTTTTTGAAAGAAGCCTTTTATCCTCAGCAGGTCCACATGTATTTGATCAAAAATACAATAAAAACAGTAATATTTGGAAATATTATTACCATTTAAAGTAACTATTTTCTATTTAAATGTATTTTAAAATATCACATGATCCTTGAGAAATCATTCTAATATGCTGATTTGGTGCTCAACAAACATTTCTTATTATTAATAATGAAAAGAGTTGTGCTGCTTAATATTTTTGTGGGAATGTTGATGCTTTTTCCAGGGCTCTTTAATGAAAGTTAAGTTGATTTTTTTTTTGTTAAGTAACTTTATAAAATATTTTTACTGTCAATTTCGATCAGTTTCGTGGATCCTTGCTGAATAAAAAAAATAATATCTTAAAAAAATTGTATGGTATATCAATGTATATTAAAAAACAAACTTTCTGAAAACAAGTTTCAGTATCTAATGCATTGTTGCGGTTGTTTTCTCTTAAATTGTAATGCTGGTAATAAAACTTGAAAGAAATAAAAAGTATGAAATTAGAAAAAAAGCAAAACAGGAGCATTTTTACCAGTGGACTCCACTGTATATTTGATCTTTTATGTATTTTAAGTCATCTTCACATTTGTTTGCTGATGTTGCACTTCCTAATTTCTAGCATTTAAACGGATCATTTGTGTTTCCACTGAAGGTGTAGAGACTGCTCGGTCCCGTTCGGCCCGCAGTGGCACCTCCACACCCCGCACACCCGGGTCCACAGCCATCACCCCTGGAACCCCTCCCAGCTACTCCTGCCGTACTCCAGGCACCCCCCACACTCCAGGCACCCCCAAGTCTCTCAGCCTGTTGTCCCAGGAAAAGAGAGTGGCCATCATCCGAACACCTCCAAAATCCCCGGCGACTACACCCAAACAGCTGCGCATCATTAACCAGCCACTGCCTGACCTCAAGAACGTCAAATCCAAGATCGGTTCTATTGACAACATCAAGTACCAGCCCAAGGGGGGCCAGGCAAGTTCAAATGCTCACAATTCATCCTGATTTCACCACAGCTTATGCTAATAGCCAACTATCCACTCTCTTTTTCCCTCCCCATCTGTCTTTCTTGCTGTTGCTCTGCTCCTTCAGGGTCGATTCTGTCCCCTGTGGGCACACTGTCCTTTCAAGTGTGTTTTACTGTGTCTCGCACTCATCACTATTGCCTTGTGGTCTGCATGTATCAATTCACTGTGTGCATACTAATGGCTGCACATAGCTGTTGGGCCAGTTCACTCGTCTTAGATTGACTTGTTCCATGCCTGACTAGAAGGTAATGTATTCTTATGACATGGCATTTATTCTCATGACAAGGAACAAAACTTGCTCCAAAACTTTACCTCCTATTATGTATTCATTTTAATATCTAAACTAGCAACATTTGATAGAACATTCTTTACATAAAATATTTCATTTGATTTTCTCTTTATTTTTTTATCAAAATTATGACATTACATTATCACTCATGTTACCTGTCATCAGACCATAGCTAGTTATTTCTTATAAATTAATATTAGTGCCGTCAGTAAATATTAATAAAAAAAACATTATATGGCAGGTAGATTCAATTAATTACATATTTTTTAAACATATTTTTTTAAGTTATTAATTGTTAAATTGACAGTCTTAATTAGAATGTACATTATAGTTATACAGTCATGATATATAGTAAATGTATCATTTATCACAATGTTTTTCATTTTATGTTGCATTATTAATGTTTTTTCATTAATTCAACATTCAGAAGTGTGGGTCAGTAAGATTTTTTTAAAACAAATTAATACTTTTATCAAGGATGCATTGATATATATACAGTATATATATAATAATATTGTATTTTTGATCAAATAAATGCAGCCTTGTTAAGAAAAATAGACTTTTTCAAAAGATTAAATCATATTGACCCCAAACTTTTGAACGGTAGTTTAAATATGAATTCAAATTGAAATATATATACTGAACAAAATTATAAACGCAACACTTTTGTTTTTGCACACCTGTGTAATAATCATGTTGTCTAATCAGCATCTTGATATGCCACACCTGTGAGGTGAATGGATTATCTCGGCAAAGGAGAAGTGCTCACTAACACAGATTTAGACAGATTTGTGAACAATATTTGAGAGAAATAGGCCTTTTGTGTACATAGAAAAAGTCTTAGATCTTTGAGTTCAGCTCATGAAAAATGGGGGCAAAAACAAAAGTGTTGCGTTTATAATTTTATTCAGTGTACATTTTAATACTATCAACTGGCATTAAGTTTTGCCTAAGTAAATAAGTAATGTGATATTTGTGTGACAGTGTTTAGTATTTTGCTTCCCTTAGGGAAATGCTTGATAGACTGGCCTATTACAGAACTCTGTTTTGGAATTCTTGGATTGTAAAGTAGGTTGTAGAACAACTGGATTGCATTCTGGGATTGTGGAAACTTCAAAATTAAATACACACATAAATGCACATACAGATATGCACCAGGGTGGTTTGTTTTCCGGGTTGAATGGAGTTCAGCTGGGACGATGGGGACAGGCTCGTGATGTAAACACCCCTTGTGTTTTTAGGGCATTTCATGCAAGCTTGCAGTAATGACCAGGGTGTAGGCTGCGTGTTGGAGTGACATGTTTATGTCTGGCTTGTGGCAGAGTGCAGCAGTGCAGAGAAAAGAATTTCATCAGCCAGAGGAGTGGGAGATTGTGAGGTTTCTGGGGTGGGAGACTGCATTGAGAAACTATGGGGAAGGACTTTAAGTGACATTGGAGTAATTGGTTTGTTTGTGGAGTTAGAGACAGTGTTTAAGATTACAAGGAAAAATGTTGGACAGGGCTGGACTTTTTCTATCATGAAATGATTGTATTGGGGAAAACTGGGAAAATCTTTACATAGCCTATTATTATAATTTATATGTTTTTAAAAATGTTTTAAATAGGTTTTTTGAAGAATTTATTTGATAACATTTCTATTCAGGGTGTATTATTTTATAATATTATTATAATATTATAGAATATATTTTAAGTCCTTTATATGTCCAGTTAAGGACTTAACTTAAGTCCGGTTAAGTCCTTTATAATGTTAGTGGAGTTTTTTCATCAAAATATATTTTATCAGTTATATTTTTTTAACACAGTGTATAAAACTTTGATTTCATGTTGAATTTAAAAGTACATTAGTAAAAAGTTAATTTTATTCTAAATTAATTCTAAAGATCAGAGAGTGAATAGATAATGTTAGTATGTTAATAATGTTTTTTTTCCCCTATCAGAACAGTCATAATTATTTTTTAAATATAATTAACAGTGATATTAACCTAATACAGTGTAAACTACCTTGATTTTAAAAGTACAATAGCAATTACAATTAATTTTATTCAAAATTAATTACAAAGGTTAAAACTACATAAATTTATCTATTCGATATTTTAGACAAAATCTAAACAAAAGTGACAAAAGTAATTTTAGACAAAAATGTAGATTGTGACCCCTTGTAAGCAATGACTAAAAATACTGAAAATCAACCATTCAATCATCGTCACTTTTTAAGTTTGTCAGTAGTTTGTCTGGTCCTCCTGAGTCCTGTAGACTGTGATGAATGATCTAGTGAAAATGGCTTTGGAGTTCATTTCAGGGCACTCAGGACACCCTGAGGAGCGACCTCTGCCATGGCCTGAATCTGTCTGGGCCCACATGCTCCCTCACCCCTGGATGACAGCGGGCGTCTCCCCAGCATAGGCACTCATGGAACAGGTCTAAGAGACAGTGACATGAGCCACAATATCTCAGGGTTGAGTGACCGGGCATGTGGCGGCCACTGCCAGTGTTTGCCCAAGGGTGAGACTGGGTAAGAGTGCTGTGCCTGTCTGTGCCTTAATGACATAATATGTCTACTGAGGGCCACTGAAGCGGACAGGGACAGTCTGAAAACTCGAAAAGCATGTGCATGCTTAATAATGTCAGAACCTTTCATTAGATTCATATTCTAAAGTATCTAAAAGCTGCATCAACTCTAGAGCTGTGTTAAGTGAATATTTGCATCTGTTCTCTTTCAAACAAATCTGAAATCTTTTTACTTTACAGATATACTTTACAGATAAAATTAATAATAATGTCTACTTTATCATTTAATGTATCATTTTAAGAATGATTGTGATTTTGAGGTCTTATTTAGCACTATAAATTCAATAATTAATCCTCGCATCTCACATGAAGTTGAACAATCACCAGATATTTGTGAGAGATTTTTGAGATTTGTTATTGAAAAGATTGCTGGCATTCAATCTTCATTTGTTCGTCTTTGTTCTAGCTCTTTGGTCGACTGTTCAGTTTCTTCAGCTACCTTGTGCAGCTTTCAGCCGGTGTCTCTCTCTGAGTTAAGGGAATTAGTGATGCAGACGAAATCTTCAAACTCAACTTATGATGCTGTTCCCTCTGACTTTTTTAAAGTTGCTTTTCATACCATTGGTCCTAGTATTCAAGTAATTATTAATTCTTGCTTAGTTTCTGGCACTGTCCCTGCGTTTTTGAAGCATGCAGTTGTTCAGCCATTGCTTAAAAAACCCAATGCCGATATTAATTGCTTGAATAACTATCGTCCTATTTCAAAACTCCCATTTCTTTCAAAAGTTCTGGAAAGAGTTGTCCTGTCACAATTACTTCCTTTTTTAAAATCAACTCATATACTTGAACCTTTTCAATCAGGTTTCACTACCCACCACAGTACTGAAACAGCTTTGTTAAAAGTGATGAATGATTTGCTACTGTCGGTTGATTCTGGTGATAATGCAGTTTTGGTTTTATTGGATCTTAGTGCTGCCTTTGATACAGTTGATCATAATATCCTTCTGTCATCCCTTGAACATTGGGTGGGCATAAAGGGTACGGCACTTAGCTGGTTTGAGTCGTTTTGAAATCCAGGTCATTTTCAGTGTCTGTTGGCCAGTTTATCTCATCATCTGCCTCTCTTCTCTATGGGGTCCCTCAGGGGTCCATTTTGTGTCCATTACTCTTTAATCTGTATATGCTTCCACTTGGTAATATCATAAGGAAATATAAAATCTCTTTTCATTTTTATGCAGATGATTCTCAGCTGTATCTTCCATTAAAATCTCGAGATTCTCTGCAGCCTCTCATCGACTGTCTTGAGGATATAAAATGCTGGATGTCAAATAACTTCCTGCAGCTCAACAATGATAAAACTGAGGTGATTCTCTTTGGTCCCTCTAAGACTAGAAATTCTGTTGTTGGGAACTTAGAAAACCTCACTCCATATGTTAAGTCTCATGTAAAAAATCTAGGTGTTATCTTTGACTCTGAGCTTTGTCTTGAAAAACAAATTAGCTCAGTTGTTAAAAATTGTTATTATCAGCTGAGGATCATCTCTAAGCTTAAATCAACACTTCCTTTCAAGATCTGGAAAAAGTCATTCATGCTTTTATCACATCACGCCTGGATTATTGTAATTCGTTATATGTTGGTCTTCCACAATCTTCATTGGCACGGCTGCAGATGGTTCAGAACGCGGCGGCTAGATTGTTAACCGGCACCAAAAAACATGAACATATTTCTCCAGTTTTAGCGTCCCTTCATTGGCTTCCTGTCTTTTTTAGAATTCAGTTTAAGATTTTACTTATTGTTTTCAAAGCTCTTAATGGACAAGCCCCATCTTATATTTCTGATCTTATTTATTTGCATTCAACGCCGAAGTCTCTCAGATCCGCTAATTACTCTCGCCTTTCCGGAGAGCCTATTAATTGAATGTGAAACTGTTGTTATTGCCGATATTATTACAATTTTTTTTTATTATTATTGTTTTTTAAATTTTACTTTATTTTAGAATTTACTGTATTTTATTATTGGTTTTGTTCAGCACTTTGGTCAGTGTAACGCTGAATTTTAAATGTGCTCTATAAATAAAACTTACTATATATATTTTAAAGGCATCTATTATCTTTTAGTTTTATTATTTATTAGTTTTTTTTTTTGACTGGTCTTGATTAACATACACTATTATGTTAAAATGTAAATGAAAAGTTATTATACTGTTTTCTCACCAATTAGTGAGACTTGTAGAGTGACTCGCAAAATCCATATTTAATAGTTCGATCTCTTGGGGATTCTTGAAAATGTTGCTAATCAGGACCCCAACAAGAAGTCAAGCTGACATTTGCAGGCGTTAGGATGAGGGAGAGTTTTACATGCTACAGTTAATTAAATTTGTAATGTTTATCTGGAATTACCTCAGTGTTCATCTATTCAGCCCTTCAGTGTGATGCTTCCACTAAATGGAAAAACTTTCAGCATTAATTAGCATAAAATCAGTGAAAGCTTTGGTTACACTTTACTTGAAGGGGTGTGCATAAGACTGACATGACACCTTCATAATCATGACATGACACATGTCATGAATATGAAGGTTTTTTATGCATGTTTATGACAACTGTCATTAAGTGTCATTCGCTCAGTTATGTCATTTTTAATGCAAATATGACATTATTTGACCTAACCCTAACCTAACCCTACCCCTACCCTTACCCCTAACCATAGCCCATAACAAAGACATCTCAAACAATGTCATCTTTGCATTAAAAATTACATAACTGAGCGAATGACACTTAATGACAGTTGTCATAAACATGCATAAAACCTCCTTCATATTCATGACATGTGTCATGTCATGATTATGAAGGTGTCATGTCAGTCTTATGCACACCCCTTCAAGTAAAGTGTTACCAAAGCTTTTCTTATTTGTGTTGATGCGGCATATGGGGGTCTAACTGTTGGAAAGAGTGTCAACAATGAGTACAGCGGCAGTTTAACCCTTAAGGGGTGTTCATGCTGACAGTGATTAAATCACAACATCTCTGCACTGTTTGACATTTCTTTCCACTGCGGATTGGTAGTCACCGCATTGTGTTGCTGCACATTTGCATGAAGTTGACCTGCTCAACTTTGTTGCTTCGTCAGTGCTTCACTTTTATCGACTGGCTATTGCCTGGTTGATTTTTGGCTGCAGGTGCTGTGAGCACATCGACACAGGGATCAGGTTATAGGTTGTCATAACCGCCTAATACTGATCTTTCTCACCAATGCACGGCTAGTAGCTGTCTGTATGTGCGTGTGCATGAATGTGTGTGTGTTTCCATCGTCATTAAAAGAGCCACATATCTTTGTATTTTTCTAGATTCAAATTTTAAACAAGAAGCTGGACTTCAGTCACATACAGTCAAAGTGCGGATCCAAGGATAATCTGAAGCATTCGCCTCGTGGAGGCAATGTATGTACTGCTCCCTCTCTCCCTATGTCTGTCTTTCCTTCTTTTCCAAAGCCAGTAGACCTCCACGGTTTTTGTCCCTTTGCTTCCTTTCTGGACCTGAGAGTCCTAGATTTCCAACTTCCGGGCACATTTCTGCTGCACTGGATGCTCAATGCTACAGATAGGACAAAATGCCTACCATGGCAGAATCAAACATAATATAGATGCACACACACACACATCAGACATAATATGGAAAACCTGGGCTAATACACAAAACTGAAGTCCCTTCTTGTTGTTCATCATGTGAAAATATATACACGCCAAATGTATATATTTGTAGACTGTAATGCAGGTGTTTGATGTTGACCTATCAACACTTGTGTGTCAACTGTATGGAAGTCATATCAAAATAAGGCAACACATCATGAACCCTTCTTTTCAATATATCTCTGTTTGAGAAATATTATGTTAATTTATAAATTTAATTTAGATATTTACCGTTTTGCTCAACAGACTGTATCATGGAGTAGCTGCAGCAAACTTTGTGGCTTCTCACTCTTGTTTTCTTTAGGTTTCAAGGTCTCCTGTATTATACGTACTTTTTGGGTTTTGTTCCAAATCCTAGTGAGCTGCCTTGCTGTCTGCTGCCTACATAGGCAGCATCCTAACTCATGTCTGTACTTCAATCAGATTTGCTGTTTCTTCCCCTCGCAGCAGCAGTCACTGTGAGTGACTATTACAACAGAGCTATAATGAGCACACTGTGTAGAGCAGGACGCCAGCAATGCCAAGGTCATGGGTTTGGTTTCCAGCAAACATTACTTATGCTGTCTGTTTAGTTTAGGTTAAAGGGGTGGTTCACTGTTTTTTTTCTAGGCTTGATTGTGTTTATGGGATGCAGTCTAACATGAGTTAATGCTTCGTTTAAAAAAAAAAACGCATTATTTTTCACATAATTTACCTTTATTCCACACCGCTCTGTCCCTTCTCTGAGAAAAGGGCTGATCTTTTCCTGTTTTTATGAAGCCCCGCCCTCAGAAATAGGCGATGGGCTCTGATTGGTTAGCTAGCCCAGTGTGTTGTGATTGGCTAAACCGCC